CCTGCACCTGGAGCTAACCTGGTGTTTCCTAAAATCCTGCAGCCTCACAGGTCATGGCCCAGAAAACAGGAGTTTCCCCGGCTCTTCCTGCCAGCACTGCCTGTACCGGGCACTGTGATGGGGTGGGATGTGATCCTGTCAGGGGGCTGGGAGAGATTATTCCCTTCCCTCTGCAGTTGTTCAAGCTGCCCAAACAGCACAGAGCAGATGCTCAGTTTCTTAAGGCTTTCTGGGAAAATCAACACTGTTTCAAAACCAGAACCGAAACTCTGGAAAGATTAATCGAGCTTGGGTCAAGAGGGAGGAAGGATGAAATAGCTTTTGACAGCAGTGAGCTGGTAAATGATGTGCCCAGTGCTGAGCTCTCAGCATTGAGTCAAAATATTCAGTGCATCACATCAAAAACTCCTTTAGACTATTGACATAATATTAGAAAGAATATGGAAAAAGATAGAACAATCAAAGGTACATTTTCAGTTTCCTACTTGCATTCTTACACTAATAAAGACTTAGTATAAATCAAATGGAGCAAATGCTATCAGTAAATTAAAATGTATGGAGAAACATGTTTTAATGTGTGTACAAGAGTTAAAAAAATCTTTGGCACAGTTGCAGTTCAGAGTTTTTTCCAGTGTTAAGCACAAGCAGCAAATGAAGCGGCTTCAAGCATTCTTTAAAATCTCATTCTTTAAAATCCATTATTTAAAATCCCAAAAGGGTTGCTACCGTTTGGATTTTACAGTTTGTCTTTCCAGAGCAATGATAAAACCATCACAACTTAATCAACTTTTGGAATCATTGACCATTCAGAAAAGCTGAAAGTGAAATAAAAATCAAGACACATAAAAAACCAGAAATACTGGACATTTTTGCCATTTCTGTCAACCAGGTAGGAATGTTGTTAGAAAGCAAGATAAAAAATTGAGGAAGGGAATAAGTGGTAACTGCTCCCTTATTTTAGGTTATTTTATGTCTGACTGTTTCAAAATTAGGAGGAATATGTGACTGGGTGCATAACTCCACCCTCTCCAAGAATTGCTGGGATCGTTGTTTATGAGTGTGATCCAAACACAGGAACAGTTTCCTTACCTACAGTCTGTTGCAATCGTGGAAATACCATGGGATGTTCCCATTGATACCTTGTCCCCATCATCACAGCACACCCTGAGAACTCCTCATCTTGGGACATACAGGATTATCTACTTAGCCCCAAGCTTTGGAAATCACCTTGATATGGAATAAAAAATACCTCTTAGAGTTGCTTTGTTTTAATGTTAGTGAAGGAAAGAAATCCCAATAAGAGCTGTGGATGTGACTGTTTGTCATCCTTTGAGAAAATAAATGTTCTAAGTCAGCTCAGTGGTACTTTTGTCGCTGAGTTTCTAATGTTGAAAACTGACACCAGTACCATGACCTGAATAACTTAAAATTTTGACCCAAGAGTAATGTCCCCCTGTAAAAGAAAGACTTCCCAAATTACGACTTCAGCTGCTCCATCTTGAGTTAGAGAACTATTTTTCTAAGCTGCTGCCTGAACTGGGCTTCAAACCAGAACTGAATGAATGCAGAGGAGGAAGCCTAAGGTACAGCAGTTAAAATATATGGAGGTTTGTGGAACATCAAACCCTTCAGAGTACAGAATATTTGCAATTTGGTATTGCAAGCATTTCCCTTCCCACTGGAAGGTTAATTTGTTAGAGAGGAATATGTTGCTCTCAGAGAATATCACAGGCTGCTCATGTTCTTGCTCATTAGCTTATTTTCAAGCAGAAGAAAATTCATGTCACCTGTGGTGAGGGGTGTCTTGGTCAGATTGTCATATCTTACCTAGTCCTAATAAAGGGAACCAATTCAGAGGTTGAGAGTAGTATTTTTGGCCTTTTAACCATAGCCTTTTCAAGGTAATCCATATTTTAGCAGTGGCCCATGACGTTACCTTCATTTGTAACCTAGTGCCAGATTTATTCCATAGAATTTTGCACAGATCCTGGGACGAGGGAGGCTCATGACTGCAGCCCCTCCCAGCCCAGCTTCCAGCAGCACATCCCAGCCCCCTGCAGCATGTTTAGCAAGCGAAACCCCACGTTGGCACTGAGGGTTGAGTAACAGTGTTCTCGGTACACCCACCCCATGTCCTGAATATTGGGTAACAGGAAACCAGGGGATGGAACAAGCCACTGCTTTTGGTTTCTGAGCTCCTGAATCCCTGAGACGTTCTAGGGGGTATCTGCTCTGTGACAACACTTCCCATTGTGTGTTCCAGCCAGGAAGATGGATGTACCTTAGTTAAAGTGAGTCATTCACTGAACCTGGGCCAAACTTTGAAGCAAATCTGGGCCAGTTTACTGCCTCGGGAGGAAACCTGGTTTTTGCATGAATTAGATGTGAAAATAAGCAGAGCCTGACTGACATCTTCTCCAAATTCCAACTGTAAGGGTAAAACCCAGAGGGCACGAGCCTCAGGCATGACAAAAATGAGGAGGGGAAAATGAGGCATCTGTCTCCCCTCCAAGATCCAGAGAGACACATGTTACTGAGAACTTAGGGTAAATTGTTAATTATTTAGGCACTAATTAAGTAATGTTTATAGAGTGGCTTACGTATGTAAATGGATGTAAAGATGCTTACGTTTTTCCTGCAGTCTCCAATTAAACCAACTTTCATTACAGAGCAAAACAATTCCATCCCAACTTGTTACACCAGTTCTTTATCCGGGCAGCTTTTCAGCCAGTGCTCCCAGCTCAAACTGGGCTACTGTTGCTTCCCTACGGAAATTTCTGGTTTGCAGTTGTTTTAATTCCATCACTGATCACATTCTGTTTAATGATAATTTGATTTTGCATTGCAAGACCCAGATGTACATTAGGAGGTCACAACCTTTCCATTTATCTCCTAAAGTAACTATTTTTTCCCCGAGTTCCATCAGGTTAAAACAGTTAGCAATTTTTCTCCTTGAAGTGTCCCTTCAGCTTGGCCGAGATATATAATAGATCAGTGTAGCTACAAATGCATTACAACATTAGTCATCAATTAGTTTTAAACCATCGCTGTAATATATCATTTATCCAGCTTGCTGTAGCACTATTGTGAACATTTAATTTTTTAAAGGCATCTTGATTTTTTAACCTGATGGCTGCATCCCCCCTTTGTCTCCTGTGCAGACATCTCCTTAAGGAACAATAAAAATTAGATTTGTTTGACCTGCACTCAGGGTTCATTTAAGCGAGATGGATTTTAATTGCTCTGCCCAGTCTCCCAGACAGCTTTTATGTAATATTCCAGACATTTACGCACTGTCTTTCCCTGGCTGTGAGCAGGTGTGTGCCCACAACTGCCTGTAAAGCAGCTCTTACAATTCATTTCGCATCTCGGGCAATCCTTGGGGAAATTGCTTACTCTGAGATACCCACTGGCATCAAATTAAGGCCTCTGTTCATTGCCACTTCTTCCCTCCTAATACCATTTTCTTTTGGTTTTAAGATTCACCTTCTGTGTGGCTGACTCTAAAAGGGCTTTGCTGAGGACTGTGTTCCTTGCACTTGTCTTGTAGTCACAGAGCACAGGTGACTTACCCCAAATACTGAGAACGGGTACAGGGCCTGCCTCTCCCAAACCCACATTGTCCTTCTACAACTTGCAATAAAATTTATGATTTGAAAAGGTTTGGATTCTGAGACAGCCAAGACTGGGAGCAGCAGGTCTGTGCCACAGTTTGGTATCTTGAAGGATCTCAAACTTCAATTAGCAGGTCACGCGAGCGAGTTATCACAGCACTGACTCAGAGCCCAAACACCCCGACTGCTCTGCCAGCTTGGAGTGGAGGCACAATGAGCTCACGTTTGCCCACAATGAACCTTATTTGCTCCAGATGCTGCATCAGGGAGAGGAGAACCTCATGTGGAGAGTTCTCTCCCTGCTAACTCTCCCCTTCCACGGGTGATACAATCTGAAGATGAGGTCCTCTGTTTTTCCTGTTCTTCTCATTCCTAAAAAGGAAGATTTGGCTGGCCCATGAGTTACCAAATCAGCACAAAAAAATGGGCCTCCTAAGCAATTCTTTGTGCCTACAGCTGGTTCTGGTCTCCTCTCTGTTGGACACGCACATGTGCTCAATTCCCAGTTGTGCTGGATGCCTATTAAAAGAACAAATCTGCAAGTGAGGAGGGTCTCTCCTGCCACGTCCATGGAAGTGAAATACGTAAATCTCCTGCATGCTGAGGGGAATGAATGCTCAAAGTGCTTGGGAGAACAGCTGTGAAAGAATAAGCAGTTTGTGTTCTGCTGCACAGTGTCACCGATCCAGCTCACAAAGCTGATCCTCACGTGGCACGTTGTGCCTGCTCCATGATACTGCCTCCTGCTTCTGGGGGGGTGATTCAAAGTGCTCAGCATTCCAGGCAGCACAGGAAAAGGGACAAACCTGCTCCTTCCACAATGGTACAACTAGCATGGTGTTGGTGCACAGCAGCAAGGGAGCACTGGAGTGGGAAGGACAATTCCAGTTAGGGGCCCTGTGCAGGGAGTGGAGGTGGAGATCATGGTGAGCCATGGGCAGAGCTGTGGAGAAGCAGGGGAACTGCCTGTCCTTGCCAGCCTGGGAAGCCAGAAGAGGGATTGGAATAATCTTCCTCAGTGCCACTGGTTTTCTCTTCTATCTGCCAGTGGTGAATTCCGACCACTCAGGAGACACCCTGGAGTGAGACTGGTATATGATTGACAGGTGAGTCATGAAATATTTAAAGAATATGAAGGGTTCAGTAGGACTGTGGAAGGAAGTTGTGTTTCCTTTCCTGAAAACCAAGCAGAATTGCCCACTTGACCAAAACCCAAAGTACAAGTGCACAGCTCAAGGCATTCACCTTCCGCCTGCCCTGAGCCAGCACCGAGTCCCACCATGAACCACACCCACCTATGGTTCCTTCCCCCTCTGGACAAGAGAGAAACAGCAGAACATGTTCAATGCTAATTATGGTATCAGTGGAAGAAACTCAGATGAGACATTCACTGAGAGAAGCCTTGGAAGAATTTTACTTGATGTAGAATCTTTGAACACAGCAGTGACATTAGGAAGGAGATGGGAGGTCCAGTGCACTTATTTTGCATGTGGACACATCATTCTTAATTTCATATTCTGTGGGTTTTTTCCCCTGGGGCTTTTATATCCATCAGTAACACAGACCCCAATATTTTTTACTTCCCTGACAGAAGCACTGAAAATCAAACCCATTTATTGAATACCAAACAAATGCAGAAATAAGAGCAGCTTCAGCACCAGATTACACATTTGTAACCCTCCAAGGACCAGATGCAGCAGAGCTGGAACACTCAGCAGCTGTAATGTGCACCAAGAAGTCACATTTGTTCAAGAAAAATCACATTACTTATATTAATTGGATGTGTCCAGCCCATCATGAGTCCACTTAAGCCTTGGCAAACCTCTAACTCTGAGCATAACAAAGGTATTAATACAGATATTCCTTTATATTATCCCATTTACATAACAGCTCCCACCTTTGCAGCCTAATACTTATCCTTTGGAACACAGAGAACTATTGACTCATATCTGGACTGGGTTGCCAAAAACTCCTAAATTTAGAGATGTTTGGAACAAGAAAGAGAGTTTGGTTCAGGCCCATCCACTGCAGCAAATTGAACACAAGTCATCATCTACACGAGCGACATTTTCGGCGTGCCCAGAGCCTGGTGGGAGCTGACATTCCTTCTCCCAGAAAGATTTACAGAATCTGTGCATTGACAAGCATTGAGGTAAGCCCTACTCTGAGGGCCAAGTGCATAAATTAGGCCTGTCCCCTCCCTTCAGTAGATCACATACACACTGTAGGTTGGCTCACTGTGCTTTGGCAGCTCCCAGTCTGTGAGCGCGTGTTCGCAGAGAGGGAGTTCGTGTCATACTCGTGCATTTACATTTTCTTTTCTAAGGCTTTGGTGCAAGGAATACGTTGCACATCATTTTTTCCCTCCATTCACATCAGATACTGGATTAAACAGACAGGGGAAAAAAAAAGTACTATTAACATGTTGGCACATATTGCACTTTCTCAGCAGAAACTGTGTCGCTTGTGCATCAGCTTGGTTTAAATTATGTAGGTCAGTGTAAGGTCAGCAAGAAGTGCTGGATTAGCATCCTCAGAGACTGAGGTCCTCTCCTCACTCACAGAACAAGGCCACATCAAGAAATGTCATTAGAGGTTCATGCACAAAGACAGGGATATTTCCTCAGGCCAACCAAGTGCTCACCTGTTCCATGAGCCCTTGGCTTACATGGAAAACAGACTGGCCAGTTGGCAGGATGACGAGGGGACTGACACTGTCAGACTGCTTCTTCAAACACTGTCAGGGTTTTTATGAGCTGCATATTTGCAGCAGTCCATGTACCTGTGAAATGACTGAATCACTGTCTTCCATGTGTCAAAATGATGCCATTTCTGGGCTGTTCCATCTTCCTCCCACAGATTACCACATTTTAGGTAGAATGCATGGCCTGAAAACCCAAATACGTGTGGCAGCTCAGACTGGGTCTTGGTGACTTCTAGTAAAGTAACACAGGGATAGCACTGGGAGCCCCACACATCATCCCAAAGGCTTTCAGCTTTCCCAGCTGGATTGTCTGTGCTAAGCTTTTCTCTGTGACCTGAAGAACCAGTACAGTTGTTTCTCACTGAGGGCCAAAAGCCTCATATAATCCAGGCAACATGAGAAAGAGGGCTTTCTGAAGAATGGAAAACATGGAATGATTTGGGATTAAATGACAAAAGAACTGAATACTGTGCATACATCTCCTGCATTTCCAGCAAATTCATGCTCTTGCCAGGCTTCTCACACAGTCCAAGCACTCCTCTTCAAATTTCCATGGTATCCCATCTTCCAGGCTGTCTGGTATCTCTGCTCTTCCTCAGCTTCTTTCCAGGTTTTTCCACAGATCCATGGCATTCCAGCACTGTGGCATTTCTCAGTGTCCCTTTGACCAACTGGAAGATGTGATACTTTGCATGGCATGTTCAGACTCTTCCTCCCACGGCTTCAGCCATTCCCAATGTGCTCACTTCTTAGGAGGCAGAACTGTTGTTCCAGAAATAAGATCCAGCAATTACTTCATTCCAGAAATGAAAGTTGCAGGAAAGGTTTCCCTCCTTCCGCTTCTTTCTAAAAATATATCCAGGAAAACTAACTGATTGTTAGGGGCTGAGTTGGCAGCAGGGAGGAAATCCTGTGTGTCTGTGTCCTGTCTGTGTCCCAGAGCATCCTGCCCTCTCCTTTTGGCTTGGCATGTTCAGCCCTGGTTTGGAAGTGGCCACTGGATGGGAGGTGGGTTTACCTGAAGAGGGAAAGAAAGTGATGACACATGAAATGGGCTGACAGTTCCCAGGTGGCCTGTGACAGGAGATGGTGCCTCACTCAGCGATCCTTCTCTCCATAGCTTGGAGCTCCCAGCCCTGCTGCTCTGCTGGGCTGGTCCTCCCAGCAGAAGGGGCAAAGCTGGCAGCACCTCAGGGATGAGTCTGCAGCCTTGGTGTCAGAGGAGGACCATTCCCAGAGCACTGGCACTGCCTAGAGTAGCTCCCTCCTTCTGTTCCTCATCTTCAGAAGGAGCTCTGCTGTTTCACAGCCCCTTCCCTCCTCTCTCATAGGGCTATGATCCATTAATGGCCCCAAAACACAGCCCTGAGTGCAATTCCCATACACAAGGCTTGGGAGACTCTTTCTGATGTGCACCACATTTTAAAAGAAATGCTTTCTCTTACACCACCCCCTCCTGTTCAGAGCAGCCTGGTAGCAACTACAGCAAACTCACAGTGGGAAATCTAACAGCACAGAAGTATCCAGTGTCCACAATCATTTCCTTTACTATGATTTTGCAGATGTGACTGCCATGGTCTGAATATTAAAAAAAAAAAAAAAAAACCAAAACCAAAACAGTATTTTGAGCATACCGAGCAGGAACTGCTGCTACAAAACAATGCAAATTCCAGAACTTCTGTTTCTGTAAATAAAAATTTTCCAGGGGACAACATCCAGAGGAGACAGTCATGTGCTCCAGCCTGAACAGGAGTCGGAAAATTCAGGGTCTAGTCCCAGCTCTACTCAGGCAGTTTGGCTCACTGGCTTCCACTTCCCGTGGTAAGACAAAACAATGATAATAAAAATCACAATGAAAGCAATTGAAATTATTTGCATAATTATTTAGCCTGTGTTTGCATGCTTTGCATGTTAAACAAGGGGTTGTTCCTTATCCCACAATCTCAGAACAGATAGGGAAGTAGAAAGTGGGGAGGAGAATGGGAACAAAACCTAATGAGTGTAGAAGTAAACTCAGTTCTGCAGAAAAACAAGCTGAAATGTTTATTTAAGAGAGACTAAATAGGCAAAGATTCAGAGCCTGGTGGAAAAAGTCAGGGAGTTCACATCAGAACAAAGGCTGTGACACAGAAGGATGGAAATAATTGTGGAAGAAGCTGATGAATGGGTGGACTGGGCTGGAAATACTGGTGGAGCTGCAGGCAGTGTCGTGACAGGTGAACACATGACGATGAAGATGATGATGATGATGATGATGATGATGAACTCCTTTTCAGTTTGGACATGGATGGAACATGAGTCCTGCTGACTAAGGGTGACTGTGAGATTCTGCTGCTCCAGGACAAGGAGCATCAGCTGCATCCACACCAAGGCAGGGCCCCTGGAAACTCCTCTGGAAATGTTATCTGCGGATCCGAGCCGCTTCCAAAGCTTCCAAAACCCGCCTGGGGAAGAGATTGCCCCACAACCCTTTGATATGGCACATTCACCAGCAGGTTCAACCAGTAATTCATTGAACAAAGCACTCAAGTCAGTGGGACAAACCCATATGGGAATAAGTGTGAGTCACATTGGGGCAGGAGTGGCCTCCCTGCCCTGAGCCCATCCTGGAGCTGTTCCCTCTTCATCCATTCAGGGTCTGCCACAGGTCAAGTTCTCCTTCTGAAATATCAAGCTCTGTCTCATCTGGGACAAATTTACTGCCTTGATCTTTAGACCCCACTTTATGTGGACATGCCAGATGAGGTTTCCTGAACACTGATCCATGGAGACAGAAATATCAACAGGAATTAATGCAGAGAGGTGTCACCTTGGCAGATTTAACTCACTGTGTCCCCTTTGTGCTCTGGCAACTTTCAGCCAAGGCCAGCTGTATGATTTGTTCAACTAAATTAGGGAAAGGCTGATTTGAGAACAAAAAAATGAAGCTGAAAAGGAGCTGGAGGTTTCATACTCAATGAAGTAAAATAATAATCCCCTATCCAGAGAAAAATACATGATACTCTGGCAGCAAAATTCTTTGGAGCATCACAAGCTGTAAGTTACAAGAAAAAGGACAAAACATAAAGAACAGATTAATCCAACTGTGGGAGAACAGCAAGAAAAGCAGCTGGTTCTGATATTCCTATTGACAAAACTTTGGCTGGATACCAAATATACCTTTCCCACCCCAAAATTCTGTGGGGTTGAGGAGAGCACAAACATCCCTTATCATTCTTTATCATCAATTGTCAGTTCTACTTGGTGTCCAGCTACCTGAATTCAGATACAGTGTGGTCCTTATCACCTCAAATAACAGCCCCCTTTACCCCAAAGTCCTTTGGGTTCATGTGGGGAGAAGCATGACCTGCCATATGGAAAATATCAGTCAAAATAAAATATTTTATCTTATATAAAGGCTCATTCACAGTGTCCCACTGGTGTTTGCCATAAAACCAAGAAAAAGTGAGGTTGTTTCAGCACTGTCTGGTCTCGGAGACTGTGGATGGAAGTCCATCCAGTTTTACTGCAGTCTGGCACAGACTTCCTTCGTGCAAGGAGCACATTTAACTGCCTACAAATTCCATAGATGTTTTTAGCAGAAGTGAGAGGTTGTGCTACCAAAGGAGAACATGAGCCAAAGATGTTCTATTATCCATATCCTATTAAAGGTCAGACAGAGCTCTTACCTCAGTGTTATAATGTGACCAGAAACTTAATTGAAAATATAGGAAAAGGTTATTAACAAAGAGATGAAGCTGTAGTAAATTTAAAACAGCCCACAGAAGGACTCTTGATAGAAAGAGAAGGTTATATAGATAGATAGGCCTTTAATTAAGGTGTATTGCTGGGTTAAGTGTAAATTTTCCAAGCAAAAATGAAGATAGAAAACTGGTAATTGCTTCCAATTTATATTATAAAAATCAGTCATATTCATTTTACTTCCTGTGACAGCCTTACTTAATTCTAAGCTTCATTCACTTAATTGGAAGGGAGAATTCTTTGAACAAAAACATAAGGAACTAAGGAAAGAGACAGGCAGATTGCAAGGATTGAATGAACAGCACTTTAAATGAAATCATTAAAACCCCTTGTCCAAGATTCACAGTAGATTCATGTTTGCTGTCCTCAAGGGATATTTATTATCAAAGCTGAGTGGGAAAAGATTGGGAATTATATCAGAAAAAAAGTCTCTAATGGTTCCTTGAAAATTGAATCTGAAGAACTCCCTGTTTCTATTGCTATCATAATTTTTCCATGTCTCAAAGTTAGTGTAGAGTAGAAACTCACATATTTCTCTTACTGACACCTCTTGCAAGGATGGTGTCACTTGGAGTCACATGTAACCCAGAGGTTCACATGCACAGGAACTACATTTACCTCAACCATATTCTCACCTTGTTCACAACAGAAGATGTTCAAAGAGAGCTTTGCTGGAAGAGTTCATACAACTCTCTTTGCAGAAATCAGACTCAGAAAAAAAAAGCCTTCCTAAAGTGGTGAGTCTTTGTGGGTTTGGGAGTTGCCCTGACACTGATAAGGAAACAAAGGGTGGTGGCTGAAGTGGCAGATCACAAGCAGAGATGTGAAGAGCTGACATTTAAAAGTAATAGTCCTGGAGAATACTAGTGATTCACAAGAGCAGATATCAGAATCACTCGATGACTACTATAGAATAATAAATCCACATCTCTTTTGCAGGTAAAAAAAATCTTTGCCTTGACAAACATTAAGTTGTGAGGGGGTTGGTTTAGTTTTTCAGTGTGAATATGCACAGAGCTTCATGATCTGTAGGTAACTAACAAAGCCCAACACACAAGTGGCTGTTTCCACATATGCTGTTCCTGGATATGAGAGAGAATTCTGCAGTTATAATCAAGGTGCACTGAATTTTAGTCTCCCCATGCACAAATCAAAATTAGTGCATCACAAATCCATTCCTGGCATGAGCAGTGGGTTCTGCTACAGGCAAATGGATCAGCAGCACCATGCCCAAATCTTTCTGAGATCCATTTAAGCAGCCACCTGAAAAGGATCCATAGCAGAAAGTGGAGAAAGCTGAGAGAAAGTCAATGATATTAAATCTCTCCCTGTCAAAAGTCAAATTACAAAGAAATGACTCAGCTGATGGTTTTGGTCTATGTCTCTGGTTTCTGGGGGGAGGTGACAAGGGATGCTTCTCCATCAGTGGATATAAAGAGAAGGTTAAAACATCCTGATGCCAATTGTTCAGAAATATTAAATAATCATGTCTTGTATTTTCTATTTTCAAAGGTCTGAGCAAGCTTTAACTAATTAAACAGCAAGGGTAGAGTAATTAAAAGCTCAGATGTTAGGTTGCTAATAGGAACTGAATAATAGAATGAATTAATTACCTCTAAGAAATCAAAGACTAAAAGAAAACACCAAAACATTCCCATGTTTACGTGAAAGGAATGAGATCTTAGTACATCAGGAACACTGAAGGTAGCAACAATAAATCTTTATCTGTCAGCAGGAAGGGAAGATAGAGCTGCAGAAAGCCCAGGGAGGATTAGGGAGAACAGCAGACAATCATCAGTGAAACACAGACAAAGCTGGGAACATGACTATAAAGTGCTTGAGGAAATCCCTAAATCCATTGGTATTAAAGCATTTACAGTGACTTTTCAATCCCAGGGCCAGTCTCACCATCAGAGAATTCTGACATCTCTGACAATAGGACCAGGCTCAGGTCTTCAAGTCAAAAAAGTTTTAGTGAGGCTTGAAGTTATTTCATGAAATGCAATTTGGATGATTTTCCTAAGATACATCTAATATAGGCCTTAGCTGGGAATACAGAAATAAGTTTTGAAAAAAGAAAAATTAGAGACAGTGTGAAACTGAAGCATTTCAGCTACTGGGCAGAAATGAACTTCCAAGAGTAGAAGAATTTTCTTATCATGGCTTTGTTGCTTTGCTTTTGTTTTCACTAAACATAAAATAAACTGCCTTCAGGAAAAGAGAAGTAAGCTCACTTCCATTTTTCAAGGGCAAAAGTGAGCATCCAGGCAGTTATCA